CAAGGCTACTTAGGCTCTGCAGTTGCCCTCCCCTGCAAGCAGGGTGCTCTCTCCTTCCTCCAGCAGCTCTGGGTTCAGCCAGGCCACAGTCCAGTCCTGGAGGAGGAGGTGGGAACTGTGTGGAGCCAGAGACCTGACAAGCGGACAGTGGGGAACCCTCTCCACAATCTCTCCTGTTCATCTGGGGATTCCTCCCTGCTCCCAACAACCTCAGAATGTCCTTAAGAAAGCACTCATGAATTGTAAACATAATAATCCAACATTAAAGAAGAGTTTTTAAAATGGGAAAAAAACACAATTGCTCCCTTCTGGTCTTGAGCACATGGTGTATTGAATTTAGGTGGAATTGCAGCTCCACTTTTATCTACTTATTCCTCTCCGCATGCTGCCCCTTGGTTTCTAATTAGAGTTTTAAAGGCTACAGAAAGTTCATGGAGGGCACGCCTTCTTGACTTTCCCTATCCTCTCCCAGTGCTGTTTATGTATGCTGCTGTTGGTTCATCTTCTCCTTCCTCCATTCATTCCTTATCCATGCGTTCATTCACCCACAGTTATCTAGTATTTGCTACACAGGCCAGTGCTAAGCAAGGAGGAATACCAGATGGATAACAGACACACTCACTTTCCTCCCCAAGAGGCTCAGTATCCAGCCAGATAGCGAAGGCAATCACTGACCATGCGGCAGCCTGCTGGTGAGCCGGGGGAGCAGGGTGCCTGAGGTCCATGTGGGTCACACAGGCTGGAACAAGAAAGAGGGCTTCCCGAAAAGGCAATTCCTAGGCCTAGTTGTGAATGAGTAGGAGGGAGTGAGGCAGTTCTAAAGGGGGACAGGGTGCGGTGATGAGGCTGGAGAAATAAACAGGGGCAATAAGCTTCTTTGGCTTTGGGTTTTTCCTTGGCTGAGTTCTTCCCCCCGCCCCTGCTGCCATGTCTTCATTCATTTGTCTGCTTGACCATTCGTGCAGTTCATTCACTCTTGCCTGCCTCCCTTAGAGTGGAACCCGACACAGACCTTCTGTGGAGACCCAGTGGAGCAGTCAGCAGCCCTTTCTCTCAGACTCTGGGGTGTATGCTGCAAGTGAGGGGGAGGTAAAGTCAGGGACCCCAGGGGAAGCAAGCAGGAAGAGGGGGCTTCTCTTTCATTTGGGAGGAAAGGCAGCATTCTGCGTGCCCCCAGAGCTGGGCTGAGATTGAAGGTCATATCATAGGCACCCCCATAAAGCTGAGACTTGTCTATACCCCATTGCTGATCCACTGGAGGAGGGGCCTCCAAAGAGGACTGGGACGGGAGAGGGACCTCAAAAGACAGAGGAAAGAGAGAAAAGCCGCCAGGGAAATTACACGTTTCCGAAGCCGCCTGGGCTTCAGTAATGAGAACCAGAGAAAGGCCTAATGGAGATCAGATTGCCCAGGGGCTGGCTCCCAGCAGACCCCTCCCCATCCTGCTGAAGGAGAGGCCAAGGACAGGAGGTATCAGGGAAGAGCCACTCTCCCCACCTGGTCCATCCCTTCCTTCATCTCAGCCAGAGTTGAGGGGATGGAAGCTGAAGGAGGAGGGGAACCAGGTGGACTGTTTCCAATGGGAGGCAGCAGGGTCGGGAGAGAGGGCAAAGTTCAGCCCTCGCCTGTGGCTTCCATAGGCCACTCAGTCAGTTGGTCAACACCCCCCCCCCCCACCAAGTCCCAGGCCCTCTGGCCAGGAAAGGCCAGAGTGGGCACTCAGGGTCAGAAGGGAACCTGGGCTGTACCTCCTCTCCCAGGGGATTCCCAGCCCACCCAAAAAGACAGCGTTCAGGAAGCCCCCACCCGGGGATGAGGGACACAGCCCCCGCCCTCAGGAGCCCCAGTCTGAGTCTGGTGGGTGGGGAGGCTGGTGCCAAAGCCCACCTGCTGCAGGATAGGATGGTGTGTCATCGGAAGCACTCACGGCCAGGGGGTGAGAGGAAGAAAAACCAGCCCTCCTATTAATACTAGTACTTCTACTACTAGTATTGCTTGTAATAACAACAGCCGTCTTGAACTGAGTGTTCATTTCAGGCCATTTTTGTGTACTCAGTCACATCTGACTCTTTGTGACCTCATGGATTGTAGCCTGCCAGGCCCCTCTGTCCTTAAATAGTAGGTTGCTATTTCCTATTCCAGGGGATCTTCCTGATCGAGGGGTCAAATCCATGGCTCCTGAATTAGCAGGCAGATCCTGGTTAAAAGTTTGGTAGGTATTTAACTTCATTTAATCTTCACGACCACATCAGGAAGAGGAAAGATGGACAGGACCACTATTTTGCAGATGTGTAAAGAGGAGGCAATCACTTGCCCAAGGTCACAGCACTTTGAGGGAGCCCACCCAGCACTGGCACCCGGGGACTCAGCTCCAGCAGGCCCAGTGATCGGGACCCCAGGGGACCAAGGCCCCCTGAGCCAAAGCCATTTTCCTCCCTCTCCTCCTCTGTCTCTATGTCTGCCTCTCAGTCTCTGCTTTCCTCTCCTTCCTGTCATCTCTTCTCGAGCTTGGTCCTTCTTTCTCCTCCATGCTTCAGCTTCTGTCTCCTTTCTCCTTTTCTATCTCTTCCTCCTTGCATCTCTTCTGACTCCATCTCTGCCCTGTACTGCCCTCCACCAGGCAACCGTCCAGCAGGGCACTTGGTTCAGGAAGTGCTCAATGAGCAGACCCTACGGGGTCTTCTTCCAAGGTAGGGAGCCAGAGCCAGGGCCTGCCCGCAGGGTACTGCGGGGTACTGCAGGGCACTTGGGCAGGGCACATAGGCCACCCGACTGCTCAGTGGATGCCCACAGCCCAGGAGAGGAGACCACGAGGATGCTGGCATGAGGCAGCTGAACACAAGGTAGGGTAGCCGTGGAGAAGCTCGCCAGGTCTCTGGCTAAGTCAGGGCATAAGGTGGGGAATGGAAATGACCCTTCCACCCCCTCCTGCCTGTTACCCTTCCCTTCTGCCCTCCTCCTTATCGTTCATTCCCTTTTTCATTCCTTTTATCCTCTCCCCTTCTCTTTCTCCCCTTCCCTGAACCCATTCCGGGGCTTGCATTTTCTCTCTCTTTTTCCTTTCTCTCTCTCTCTCTCCCCCTACCCCATCCCTCCTCCTCCTCTATCGATCAGTCTCCCCAGCTCTAGCCAACACGGAGGCCTTGGATGGCGCTCACAGTCTTGCTTTAAATTTATTGCCCAGTAAAGGAGGAGGCAGATGGAAGTCTCCGCACCCCACCCCCAACCTCCATGTCTCCTCATCCCAACAAAAGCCAATCTAGACACGAATGTCGTCCATCAAATGCACCAATATGGGGTTATTTATAGGCCACCCCTTTCCAAGAAAGCAGAGTGTTTTTTCTCCCTCTCTTTTTTCTCTTTAAGCTTTCTCATCTCAGGAGTCAGGGATTTGATATTTGAAAAGCTACACAATGAGGTCCCCATCCCTCAGATTCTAGGGTAGGGGGGCGCAGAAGTGTCTTGATTGGAAATGAATTAATTAGAAGTGAGGCTCTTCAAGTCTCCGAGTTGGGTTATTTATAGTGTTTGGTTAATTTTGATAATTAACACTGGGGATGAAAAGCGAGTTCTGGGCAAGGCTGTACCCGCCAACAGAGACACACTTCCTACCCCTTCGATTGCCCCTCCCCACACTGCTCTATTTGAACTCTGTCAAAATAGGCTACTCTCCGCCAGGGAGCCCCAGGTTTTTCTAAAAACAGAATGAAGGAGGTAAGGGCAAAGGCACAGGGGCTGCTTGGGTGAACTGCTATTTCTGAGAAGTGGGGGATAGTCTGGGGTCAGCTTCCCCATTCACCTGTGTCAAGCCAGTACCCCTCCCCTCTCGTGCCAAATTTTTCTTGGAGCAGCAGGTGCCAGGGTGCTGGTCTGGGCTGCATACTGCACAGTAGCCTATAGAAACACAGGGGAGTCGGGGAGACTGTGCCTGAGGTTTGGGCACAGACGCTCATTCTCCCAAAACTGCTGGGGAGGGGCCTTCAGACAAAGGGTGATGGGAACCAGAGACAGCAAGAGACGGCAGGGAGAGGGTGGATGGGCAGAGATTCTCAGAGAAGCAGGAAGTTTTGACCTGGATCCTGCTGCCTGCCCCCTGGGCAGCTGGGCATTTCAAGGAGAGGGAGTGATCCATCACCCAAAGAAAAGGGGCTTTCAGAGTGCTCCCAGCGTGCATGGCCAGCTCCATCTCAATCCACTTGCTCCCCTGTCCCCTGTGTTGATGGCTCAGCAGTTCCACACAGACAGCCTCCTTCCACACTCATGCAGCCTCGGACAGCCTCCCCTCCCGGCTCCAGTGAGAGCAAGGCCCAGCGCACCTGTGACCTCCCCTGGGAGCCTCGTTTAGCTGGTGGTTCCCCCGCCTATGCTCTCCTAACTCTGGTGGAATTCACGGTGGAAGGTGGCTGTAAATATAGAACTGGAAAGACCTGGGGATGGAGTCTAAAAGGCCCTGTGAGCCCTTCCCTGAAGGTGTGGGGAACTTCTTCTTTGCCTGCGAGCTGGGCAGTGGGCTCCGGGCTGCCCCCTAACACTGGGTAGTTTACCAGGAAGGGATCACTTTTCTTCCTGGGATAAAGACCAACTGGACACCCTCGCATCCCAGTGGAGGGCAGGTGGGACCACCCAGCCCAGGTACAGGAAGTAGTGGGAGGCCTTTCTCCCTCCTGCAGTGTCCTCTCCCCCTGAAGTGCAGAGGCGGTCCGGAACTTCAGATGCAACCCTGCTCTCTTACACTCTCCCGGTGACCCAGGGCCCTGGGCTCCTGTTGTTCCTGCAGCCTGTGCCAGCTCCCCCGCCCTCCCCTCCTCCCCACCACGGATGTTCTCAGGTGTCTTAACCAAATCCCTTCCCCTGCCTTTCCTCCCCTTCTCTCCTGGCTCCTGACCCCAGATAGGAGGAAGAGAGATGGCTTCTCCCGGCTCTCCTCATCTCTCCATCTTCATAGTAAAATGCAATAAAACCCTCTGTGTCCCATCTCACTCCCCTTTGCACGGTCTTACCACGGCTGCCCCTGCCCCGAACAGCCCCATTTCACTGGGATCTGGAATCGCCTCCAGGAAGCCTGCTGTGGCTGCCCTAGTTCTTTTAGTCTCCAGTTATGGGTACACTGGGCAGCCCCCACCCCCGGGTATGCTTCCATGTTGTTCTGGGAGGTACTTATCGGTTTGTTATTTTCTATCTTAAATGTTTTGTGCAGACCCCAGCCCTTTTGGAGGATGGCAACCAGTTCCCGCCCCAGACTGGAGGCCCCCCTGTAGTGAGGGTCTTGGAAATGGAGCTCCTGCTCCCCACTCCACCCCCACCCCTGGGTGCAGACATGCTGCCCACGGCCCCTCCCTCCGCCCCCACCAGCCTGCCTCTGCTCTTCTTCTGTCTCCAGTGTCCAAGGCCTCCGGGCTTCTGCTGCTCTCTGTGGGCAGGGCCCTGGGCATGTGGCGATTCCAGGCCAGGCCCCTGACCCTAGGCCACCACAGTCCAACCCTCAGACATCCCTGAGCATTCCCCGCACCACCCCCCCAACTTTTCAGCACAGGGCCCTTTGGGGAGCTGCTATTTCATCTCCAGCTTCCTCTGAATAGAGAGCCCATTTTTAATTAAAGTGGAAAAAGAGCTGAAAATCTGTTCGCATTTAATCATCTTGACGACCTTTTTGCTTAAGAGTTTCCAGCTGAGGGGGGGATGCTGAGAGGGGGATTTTGAATGGGCGGGGGCAGGCATTTCTTGAGAGTGGGCCTGGGTTGGGAAGGAGGAGGGAAACCTCTCACCAGGATGAATAATGGAACAGGAGCTCTGAGTGCCGACTCAGCACTTTCCTCCGATGGTGGCTCCTCCGCGAGGTGCCCCCCCCCGCACCTGCCGCCCCTCCCTGTGGCCTGGGCCACACAAGAGCCTGGCCTCAGGCTCCACAGGGAGCGGAAGCAGGGGCAGCCTGGGAAGCACAGGTGAGCACAGCCCTGGAAAGGCACTCTGCACGGTCCCAGGTCACACACCTCTTAGACTAGGCGCTCCCCAAGGCCCTGGGCCATGTCCCCTCTCCCCAGCCCCTGAGAATACCGGAGGGGACGGCAGCATTGCATCCCCCTCCATGTTTCAGACATGCTCACACAGGACAAGAGGAAGCAGTCTAGGTACCGTGTCTCCTCCTCAGAGTGGCAGGACCCAGGGCAAGGGTGCTCTCCCCCTCAGTCAGCGGCCAGAGTGGGTGGGACTGAGAAAGCCAGGCCTGCCAGGCCTTCTCTTTTAACTGTTCAGCCTTGTCTCAGGGCTCCCCCAGCCCAGCGGATCTGGCCTTGGGACGGTTGGGTTTGCAAGGGATCCTTCCCCGGCAGTTCCTCCCCCTTCCCTCTTGGGGATCTTCTCTTGACTGGGACACTTAACAGACTGTGCATCTATGCCCTTTACCCTCTTCTGCTAGAAAACCAACCCAGACATTCGCACTTGACCCCACTTCCCAGACGCGCCAGAGTGAAGATAAGCTGGGGCCTGGGCTGTCTCCTCCCCCAGCGATTCCCGTGGGAATTGTGCCGGAACCTGAGGCCTGTCACAGCTCTGGCTCTTATTGGCAGCAGGAAGGCCCCCCCAAGCTTCCTCTCCAGTGCTGAAATGTCACCTCACCTCTCATCTGGTCTCCAGCCTGCAGGCCAGAAGCCACCATCAGCAGGAGCAAACAGAATAAGAGTAATTGACATCTGCCCAGTTCCCATGACACACACTCAAGACCTCTTTGATTCCTCACAGTAACTCTGAGACTGATTCTCTTATGCCCATTTTATAGGTTAAAGAAACCGAGGCTCAGAGCAGGGGAAAGAACTGATCCAAGGGCACACAGGAAATAAATGTTAGGCCTGGGCCTTCCAATGCCTCACCCTCTCACCTTCATGCTCCTCCAGCATTGGGTAGCCCTACTCAGGTTTTCTTTAAAATGTCTTGAACTGTCCTGGGCTTCCCCGGTGGCTCAGTGGTAAAGAATCAGCCTGCCAATACAGGAGATGCAGGTTCGATCCCTGCATCAGAAATCCCTGGAGAAGGAAATGGCAACCCACTCCAGAATTCTTGCCCGGGAAATCCTGTGGACAGAGGAGCCTGGCAGGCTACAGTCCATGGGATAGCAAAAGAGTTGGATGCCACTTAGGGACTAGACAACAGCAACTATAACGTCTTTGGATGCAGGATAAAAAGCGGGAGAGATGACTCAGTCCTTGAGAAATACATGGCAACTCTGCCTGGGAAGGATCTAACTGGAGTGTCCACAGGAATTTCCTAGAGAAAGGGTACTTCAGGGGAAATGTGCCATTGAGAGGAAGGCAAAGGCTGGAGAGAAGGGAGTCCTCCAGAGTCAGCAGGGTACCCAATCTCTCCCCTGTGCCCTTACTACAAGGCCTGGAACTCTCTCCATCCAAGCACTTGTGTATAGCATCGACCTCTCTGGGAACCTCTTCTCCAAGACACAGAGTCTGGTAAAAATTAAGTCCTTTCTGCCTGTGTGTGAACAAACCAATCAGATGTGATGCCTTGATGAGAGGTATGAGTACAAAACAGGACGTGTGTGAGGAAGGGTGGCCTTTGAAGGGAGACTACAGATGGGAATTATGGAAGACTTTGACCAAGGCCACAGTTATGTTGAAGGAAGAGAAGAAACAACTCTCGTGGGGGCCGTAGAAGGGCTCAGAGGTGGGAGAAACTGAGTAATGTGGGCTAGACGGGGTGGAGGCAGGAAAGGAGCACCCGTCTCTGAGGTTGTGCAGACAGTGGGAGAGGGCACTACGGAACTGGCCCACTTTGCTGCTCCAGTTAATCTAACTGGTCTCCAAAATTAGTGAATTCCTCTCCCCTCTCACTGCTGATGCAGCTCCAGAATCCAACTGGGCTGACCCCAAACTAGTCCCCAGCCCACCCTGTCCCCTCATTGGTCAGAACCCCCTTGCAGCCCAGAAGGAGGCAGCTCAGAGGTAATCACTGCATCATGCTTCAAATTCGAGGAGCTAGCTCCTAATGGGGGGCAGCAGGTTTCACTTACCTGGCCAGGCAGCCTGCCAGAGGCAGATGGGATGCAGCTGGGGAAGGCCCAGCACCTCCTCATCCCCCACCCCTCAGAAATTGTCCTTTCCTTGTCCACTGCCTTTCATCCCTTCTCTGCTTGGACATTGGGACTGGGGAAGAGAGGAGGTGATTTTTCCCAAAGCAGGAAAAGTGAATGCTGACTAGAAGAGCCTGGAAATCATATCTTCAATCAAAAGACAGAGATCATCCCCTGGCTTGCCTCAGTTCAGTTCAGATCAGTCGCTCAGTCGTGTCCGACTCTTTGTGACCCCATGGATCCCAGCACGCCAGGCCTCCCTGTCCATCACTAAATCCGAGAGTTTACTCAAACACATGCCCATCGAGTCGGTGATACCATCCAGCCATCTCATCCTCTGTCGTCCCCTTCTCCTCCTGCCCCCAATCCCTCCCAGCATCAGGGTCTTTTCCAATGAGTCAACTCTTTGCATGAGGTGGCCAAAGTATTGGAGTTTCAGCTTCAGCATCAGTCCTTCCAATGAACACCCAGGACTTATCTCCTTTAGGATGGACTGGTTGGATCTCCTTGCAATCTTGATTCCAGCCTGTGCTTCTTCCAGCCCAGCATTTCTCATGATGTACTCTGCATATAAGTTAAATAACAGGGTGACAATATACAGCCTTGACGTACTCCTTTTCCTATTTGGAACCAGTCTGTTGTTCCATGTCCAGTTCTAACTGTTGCTTCCTGACCTGCATACAGGTTTCTCAAGAGGCAGGTCAGGTGGTCTGGTATTCCCATCTCCTTCAGAATTTTCCACAGTTTATTGTGATCCACACAGTCGAAGGCTTTGGCATAGTCAATAAAGCAGAAATAGATGTTTTTCTGGAACTCTCTTGCTTTTTCGATGATCCAGCAGATATTGGCAATTTGATCTCTGGTTCCTCTGCCTTTTCTAAAACCAGCTTGAACATCTGGGAGTTCTCGATTCACGTATTGCTGAAACCTGGCTTGGAGAATGTTAAACATTACTTTACTAGCGTGTGAGATGAGTGCAATTGTGTGGTAGTTTGAGCAATCTTTGGGATTGCCTTTCTTTGGGACTGGAATGAAAACTGACCTTTTCCAGTCCTGTGGCTACTGCTGAGTTTTCCAAATTTGCTGGCATATTGAGTGCAAAACTTTCACAGCATCATCTTTCAGGATTTGAAATAGCTCAACTGGAATTCCATCACATCCACTAGCTTTGTTCATAGTGATGCTTTCTAAGGCCCACTTGACTTCACATTCCAGGATGTCTGGCTCTAGGTGAGTGATCACACCATCATGATTATCTGGGTCATGAAGATCTTTTTTGTTCAGTTCTTCTGTGTATTCTTGCCACCTCTTCTTAATATCTTCTGCTTCTGTTAGGTTCATACCATTTCTGTCCTTTATTGAGCCCATTTTTGCATGAAATGTTCCCTTGGTATCTCTAATTTTCTTGAAGAGATCTCTAGTCTTTCCCATTCTGTTGTTTTCCTCTATTTCTTTGAATTGATCGCTGAGGAAGGCTTTCTTATCTCTCCTGGCTATTCTTTGGAACTCTGCATTCAAATGGGAATATCTTTCCTTTTCTCCTTTGCTTTTCGCTTCTCTTTGTTTCACAGCTATTTGTAAGGCCTCCTCAGACAACCATTTTGCCTTTTTGCATTTCTTTTCCATGGGGATAGTCTTGATCCCTGTCTCCTGTACAGTGCCACGAATCTCCGTCCACAGTTCATCAGGCTCTGTCTATCAGATCTAGTCCCTTAAATGTATTTCTCACTTTCACTGTATAGTCATAAGGGATTTGATTTAGGTCATACCTGAATGGTCTAGAGGTTATCCCTACTTTCTTCAGTTTAAGTCTGAATTTGGCAATAAGGAGTTCATGATCTGAGCCACAGTCAGCTCCCGGTCTTGTTTTTGCTGACTGTATAGAGCTTCTCCATCTTTGGCTTGCCTCAGCCCTGGCCAAAACCCAAATTCTGCAAATGCATGTCAGGAGTG